GGTGGAGAAGGAAGGAGAAGACGGACTAACAGCTTCTGCCAAGGAAAGCAGTAGAAGAGAACTCTCAGCTGAAAACTGGATATCAGTTAGGATAGCAGGTGGAGGGGTCATTCAGAGAAAAAGCTGATGGTGCAGAATGGTTTGTTTTCCAGTGAACAGTAGTTCTTGAGGGAAGTGAGAGTGTGTTTATGAGGGATAAGAGTATACATCTGGAAAAATAGTACAGAAAAAAATAAGGATAAGAAATGAGAGGAGGAGAGCCACAGAGAAAACTACATTTTTTTTTGAGAGGTTTTTGCTATAGGGCCCGTGCACTCGCCAGACAGACAGAGAGAGACAGAGAGACAGAAAGCGAGAAATCACTCCCCAGGAGGGATGGCCACACCGCAATTCCTTCTCCTCCATTCTCCCCTCAGGATCTTGGGCACGCACGCACACGCGCCCGGCGTGAGTTTCAAGCCACCGGGTCTGGGATGCGAATTGCGGTTGACTACATGGGAGTCCAGTGACATAGCCATTATGCTAACTGCTGGTCCCAAGAAAACTACAATTTGGGCATTGACTTTGGATACCATGGAGGTGAGCCCTGTGAAAAAGCTCACAGGTCCAAAACAAAGTTTATGAGGCTTTCCTTTCCTGGTATCAAATTTCTGTTCCAAACATAGTGATACTACTAGACTACTTACTTTTGTGGTCTTCCTGAAGAAGCACTAGAATTAAAATACAGACAGATAAGTTCATTTCTAAAACCTAGTGGTAGAAACTTTAGCAGTGCTTGGCAGGTAGGACAACATTGACCTCATCTGATAGGTTCAATTTTAGTTTATGACATCAAATGAATCATCCAAGAGGTCAACAGAGAATTTGTGATGGTTCCAAATAATATAAACTAGTGAACTTGTAAAAATTCCACATATGAAATGAGAATGAAGAAGAAACCATCATTTCTCTCCTCTATTGACTACCCTCTTTTTTGGTTCCATGTCTTTCTCTTTATGTCTTACTTCTTGATTTTAGTAAATCTCTCTCTCTCTCTCTCTCTCGTTGGTTCCATTTCTCTGGAGAACCTTGACTAAGACATGTTTTCCCAGTACCAGACATGGAGACAAGCATTTGAAGATTATGATATGGCAGAGACCAGGTTTGGGACTCGAACCGCAGTCCACTACATGGGAGTCCAATGGCATAGCCATTACACCAACTGCTAGTCCCCTCTCCAATATTTTTGTAAGATAGAGTACATGAGAGTTTATATTTCTGAGTTCTTGTAGGTCTGAAAATAACTACTTTACCTTCCACTTAATTGATACTATGTTTAGGCATAGAATGCCAGGTTGAAAATAATTTTTCCATCATATTTATAAGATTTGCTGCTTCAATATTCCAGCACTCAATGTAGTAGAGACATCTGATGGCATTATGTTCATCATTTCTTGTAGATAATATTTATTTTCCTTCAAGAATCTTTTTAGACTATTTTTTTAACCTCTGTTTTTTTGAAATTTCATGATAATGTGCCCATAAACCCACGAGGACACCTTCAACCTGAAAGCTTATGTCTTTCCATTTGCAAAAGTGTCTGTTCTTCATTATTTTCCTTTCTTTATTCTCTCTTCACTTGTGTAACTTCTGAGTTGAATGGACTTTCTGGATTCATTCCAAAGTCTCTGTTCTTTTACATTCTCTCTTTTTTCCCCATTTTGTCCTACTTATAGGGTGCTTCCTTCTGCTTATTTTCCTACTTCTCTAATGAAAGTTTTATTGTAATAATTCTTTTTAATTTCAAGAACTTTTCCTTACTCTTTGACCTCTTACATAGCATCTTGTTCTCGTTTTACACACAAAATGTATACAAATCTGAGGTAAAAGTCAGTTTTGTTTTTCTGAAGTTCTCCTTAATTCACTAAATTATCTGTTCCCTCCCTCCAAGATGAGGTGTTTTACTTGTTGTTATTTTGTGTCCATTTGATTTTGTTTCAATCCTTGCTTCTTTTTTTTTGTTTTCTCTTTCACATTGCAAACTTGCTTTGGTGATCCTTGATATCCCTATATTATCTGACAACAGAGAAGATGTTTGTATACTCAGTGTGCCTTAGCTGAACTTGTTGATTTGTGACTACAATTTAAGATGATCAGGTGTAAGGAGGCAGTTTGAATACTCCAGAATGTCAGTATGTAACAGCTTTTCCTGTAGATATTCAGCTTCTTTAGAAGAGAAACCCTGCTATACTTCCAGAGAGTATACCTCTGGCTAAAGATATCTCACATGTTGGGCGGGCTCTTGGATCTCTACTACTCTGTACAGACTTTTAACCAGTCCTTTGAGTTTCACCCTCCCCTACGTTTCAGTCTCTGCTGTACCCAGCACCTCTGAACACTAAGTTTCTCCAGGGTTCTGTCTTACACCAGCTTGAAAAATCAGGTATTATTCTCTCTCTCTATGTTCATTCTTCTAAAGACATGTTAAAATCTCTTGTCTGACTGATATCTCTTCTCCAGCTCTCCTAGTTCTTGTGATTTTTATACTGATTCCATTCTTTTAGTCTCATTTTAGTGATATCTTCAAAGGAAGCAATTATAAAACACATCTGGTTGATTTTCAGAAGTTCACAGTTCTTTTTTTTTTTTCAGAATACAATTACAAGTTAGTCATCTGTCTTCATTTAAAAATGATGTTTTATTTCCATCTTTTCTTTTTATCTTTCTTTATAATCTTACCTCTAACACTTTATCTAACCACTGATCATAATACAGATCACAAATAAAATTTTAAAACCATTGCATTATTTTAAAACTCTTTCATGCTGACCTATTATAGTTTTAATTTTTTTGAGAAGTTTTTGCTATAGGGTGCATGCACTTGCCAGAAAGACAGGGAGAGACAGAGAGACAGAAAGCGAGAAATCACCCCACAGGGGGAACAGCCATGCTGAAATCCCTTCTCCATTCTCCCCTCAGGAACTTGGGCACACACGCACATGCGCCTGGCATTAGTTTAAGCCACCAGGTCAAGGACTCGAACTGCGGAGGACTACATGGGATCCAGCGAAGTAGCCATTAAGCCATCTGCTGGTCCTGATCTATTCTAGTATTATAATGCAAGTAGGTTTAATATGTCTATAAAGAAGGAAAAGAAAAAACTGAATTTTGATTTGATTCCAATATTTTCATTTCCAAAGCATATCATTTTTTTTCTGTGAGTTTCACTGTTCTTTCACATTACAGCAGTATAGACGAAGTGTAGCATCCTCACATTAGAGACCCATTTTTATAGATTCCATAGTTTTTCCCCAAGTCTCATAATCTGTTTCTTGTAGATAACTTAATTAAATGGACCATGGAGAAAGAAAGGCTAAGGAGAAATACTGAGATCACTTTCTCTTAAGAGTTTTGGACCAAACTCTCTTCTTTCTCTCTCTTTCAGCACAATGAACAGATAATTTTGTATATGAACAATAGTAGGAAATATGGTTTCCATGAAACCTTCTTAAAGAAACTTCTAGAAGATAGCCTTGAAGTAACTAAAAAATGAGTAGAAAAATGGATAAAAGAACTATTTTGAAAAGAGAATTCATTTAAATGTAGAACTATGACTAAACAACTATAAGAATTACAGTTGCATAAAAAGATATAAATGTTATAAACTTTGATAATGCAGAAATATTAGTGTAACAAATAAAAGAAGGGAGATGACAGGGACTGGTAGAAAGAGAAGGTGAGAGGTAGGATAAGTATATCGATTTCCTTATATTTTGTAGCAGGTAGGTATTGCCCAACAGACCCTGTTCATAGCTGATAAGTCAAGTTATAGAGGGAAAAGTATATTTTAAGAATACAAAGGTAACAGCTAAACTAATTATAAAAACAAAACCAATCAAAAATTTTATATGGTAGATTAGAAGGAAGAAGTAGAAATGCACTTATTTCTTTATACTTTATATCAAGGAGTTGATAAATTACTTCTAAATACATTGTCAAAATATAGTCTAAAATGTTTACAACTCACCAGCCTGTACTCTGTGGAATACATCCTTTCACATAGTTTGAAAAATCTTCATTACCATTTCTCTTCTCCATGATTCTTTGAAGAGTACTGGAATGGTTCTGGGATCACATATTCCAGTTATTTTTAGCAGCTTTGGATAATCTTCACCTAGATCTAGAGACCTGAACTCCTTTAAGCAGACAGGAACAATAATCTGGATTTCACTGTATTCATACTTTATTCCTACCAATTCCAGGTGATGTTTTTTTCTTTCTCTTCTTTCTTCCCATCTGTCCACCAATCCAACCAACATTTATTCAAGTTTTAGTCAGATGCTGTGCAAGGATGCTAGGTATCTAGAAAAATAGTGTGTATAGGCCCCTGTCCTCAATATGTTCACAGTCTAGTCAGGAGGCAGACAAGCAACTCTAATACAAATAAATTACTTTAATAGCAGGAATATCCACCCCTTAGGAAAAGCTAAATGTGTCTGGATTATTCCAGAAAGGCTCTACAGAAAATGTTGCATTTTATTTGGGTCTTAAAGAATAAGTAAGTCTTCAACTGGCAGGGAACAAAGAAAAGAGTAATCCAAAATGAGAATTTAAAAATAAGCAAAAGCACAGAAGGAATGGTGATCACTTTGGTTTGACTGTAATGTGGATGTACTGGAAAGGGAAGGGCAGAGGTGGCCCTACAGATTGTTCTCTATGTTAGAGTCTAAGCCTCTGTATGACTTTTTAAGAGCCAATACATTCCCCTTGAGATTAACACCATCACACTGAAGTTTACTCCCTCACCATGTGGCATGAATCCTCACGATATTTGCCTTTTCTTCTTGCCCCCAGCCAACATTCCAGGTTGCCAAGAAGAACTCCAGTTGAGAATTGGATTGATGACCCCAGTGAATAGACTATAGCCCTGCCCAGTTTCTGCAGGCTATAGGCTGGCCTCTCCTGGTCCCAATACGGTTCTCTCATGGGGTGCTTCCCAGCCCTCATTTGCTGTATCTCACCTTCATCTCCAGGGCCTCTGGCACCTTCTTGCCTTCCCAAGCCCAACTCCGCTTGGTGAAGTAGTTAACAGTGGCAAATTCAATCAGCGCAGAAAACACAAAGGCATAACAGACGGCTATGAACCAGTCCATGGCCGTCGCATATGCCACTTTAGGTAACGAGTTTCTGGCACTGATACTCAAGGTGGTCATGGTAAGAACCGTGGTGACACCTGGGGAGAGAGAAGACGAGAACTAGAGCAACTGGAAAACAGTGAATGCGTATCTGATGCAATCATCAGCTTCCTACCTTAAGGAAGTTTTACCAAATTCAGAATGGCTTCTTTAAATTAAAAACCAGAAAATGTCAAAGCTGGATGTGTGCATTTAGTAACCATACCAACCCAATTGACACAAGAACAGGGATCTTCATGCAGTAGTTTGAACAGTTGTCCTCTCACCTCTGCTCAAATTTTTCCATTGAAGAGTAAGCAACCTATTTTCACTGTAAGAGAATTTTTGTAGAAAAACCTGCCTTATGCCTGAAACCTGCCTTTTTAAAAAAATATTGGCCCACTGACTGATCTCAGTGTGTCTTCCATGACCACACAAGAAGGAAAAATCTTCTTCCTCCTTTTCAGGAGAGGCTTTCAGAGACATGGTGGCTATGGTTCCTTATGACTCTGCTTATCTCCAGAATGAACACAGAGAAATTCTCGTGAACTCCTCTTGTTACCTCTTTCCCCACCCAGACTCAGGACATGGTCTGAATTCAGAAGGTTTTCACTTCCTTAGTTCTAAAAACACTTCTAATAATGCAACAAATGATTGTAAAAAATAGTTCTCTACCTGCATCATATTCTAGCATGCTATTGAGCACCATGGATAACCAAAGCTATTCTACAATGTCTGTTGTGATTTTTTTTTTTTTTTTTGTCAAGCCAGAGCTTGCTTCTAAATCATTTGATTCTTTTTCTTGGGGTGGTGTTATTAGCCTAAAGTCAGAATTTTGTTTTATTCATTTAAAAATTCTACTAAACTTTTTTCTAGTATTTTACTATTTTAGATATGCATATGAGCTATATACAGTGTGGCAGTTAACAGTATAAGCATTAGTTAGACTGAACTAGACTGAAATCTGGACATCCCAACTTACTAGTAGTATAATTATGAATAAGATGTCTTACTCCACTAAGCCTCAGTTTTTTTTTCATGTGTAAAAATAGGCATAATAATACTAGATGATACAGAGATCTGTTGACAGTATGAGATGATATTGATAAAGTCTATAGCACAATATTTGACATAGAGTAGTCACTCCCTAAACAGCATCTTCTTTTTTTTTGGAGAGATTTTCACTGTAGGGCGCGTGCGCTCGCCAGACAGACAGAGAGAGACATAGAGACAGAAAGCGAGAAATCACCCCCCAGGGGGGATGGTCACGCCACAATCCCTTCTCCTCCATTCTCCTCTCGGGATCTTGGGCACGCACGCACACGCACCCGGCGTGAGTTTTAAGCCACCGGGTCCGGGACACGAACTGCGGTCGACTACGTGGGAATCCAGCGACATAGCCATTACGCTAACTGCTGGTTCCCTAAACAGCATCTTCTATAATTAACTTTACTAGTATTTTTACTGCTGTTAGTAATAATGGCATTGTCACAATTATATAATTAATTCTAGTAATAAAATTATAATCACATAGTTAACAATAATATTATAATAATAAATGTATTATTAGTAATCTTACTCTAGCCTCAGTAATACTACACTAGGTGGTAAAAACCTTGGCCCAGTTGTAATGGCACAGATGTAGGGCACTGCTGTGTGATACTGAAGCCACATTGGAGGACTGGGTTGGATCCTGGGTTGACCTGAACATGCTAGGCAGGCCTGTGATCCTGTGATCCTTGCTGTTTGTGAGGCTGAAGGGATGATTGTGGTATGGTGAGACTCTGTTGAGGGTAGCTGTCTCTCACCAGATGAATGAATGAATAAATAAATGAATAAATAAATAAATACGCAAACTTTTTAAAAAATTCTTGAATGCTGCCACTTAATCGCTTTTTATTTTGGGCAATTTCCTTAATCTCTGTGTGCATTCATTCTCCCTGCACATTTATGAATACTCTCTACTATCTATATCTTCCAAGATTTTGATAAGGCAGTTGCTGTACCTCAAATAATTCAGACTTGAGAAGGGATAATAGTCAGAGCCTCTTTCTGAAAGTTGGAAGAAGATAGATGATGTGAGTCTCCTTAGTCTGGGTCAAGTAAGGCATAGAATGAAGTCCTAATGGGGCAAAAGATGCTGTATAGAAAAGCAGGCAGAGAAGATACCACCTCTATTAATTTTATCCAGAGATTCATCCAGGTATGCTGCAGCCTTTGCAGTTGCCTCTTCTGTCTTGCTCCCTTGAGTACCTTCCTTATACATTTGTTATATAAATGAAAATCCATATTGGAAAAGACTCAGTATAATTTCAACAGAGAGATTCTAAAGGAGCACCTTTGTATAAACTAGGCAGGAAGTCATCAAGGCTGATTCCTGACATGGAATCAGGAATGTCAAGAATCAGCTACATAGCGGATAACTATTAATGAACTGTGTGAATTTGTAACCTACTAAACTCTGAGAATGGACCATAGGCTCAGTAACCCTCAGATCACACAGATCAAGGAGTGATTTACAGGAGAAACAAGATGCCTCATTTAAGGTTATCAGCAAGTGCAGTTGTTCACACTAGCATTAGTGAACTAATGCTTAGACGGAGAGAACTGTACTGCAACACAGTGTTTCCATAACCATATATCAGTAGAGTTTTTTTTAGAGCTCTAGCCTCTAGGGTTTAATTAGAACTGTTATTTTATGGAGAGCTCTTAGCTAGTCAGAGCTGGTACGACCCTCAATCAAACCTTTGGTATACTTCATGGATAGACAAAGAGATTCTCAGCATTTTAAAAGATCTAGCCTGTCACCCAGTGCCTCCCTTTTAAGACTCTTCTAGAAAGCCTTTCTTGAAAGGCTAAGGTAGAATTGACTATTACCCTAGGGGCTGGCAGGTGGCATGGTGATTTAGGCACTGGACTTCCACATGGCCTGCTACGGTTCGAGTTCTGGACCTAGTGGCTTGCTTTCTCGCTTTCTCTCTCTCTCTCTAATGAGCAAATGTGCCCTATAAAATATTAAAATAATAATGAATAAATAAATGCAATAAAATAAATACTTCTTTTTTTGAGAGATTTTTGCTATAGGGCAAAGAGGCAGAGAGACAGAAAGCGAGAAATCATCCCCCAGGGGAGATGGCTACACTGCAATCCCTTCTCCTCCATTCTCCTCTTGGAATTTTGGGCATGCATACACACGCACCCAGTGTGAGTTTTAAGCTAAGCGTGAGTTTTAATCTGCCGGGTCTGGGACTCAAACTGTGGTCGACTACATGGGAGTCCAGTGATGTAACAATTATGCCATCTATTGGTCCCCAAAATATTTCTTTTTTAAAAAAAGAATTAAGTGGTTGGATATGGACGATCTATTGCTGAGTGAAGCAAGCCAGGATATGAAAGAAACATATTGTATGCATCCACTTAATATATACTGTGTGGAACGGGGCGGGAGAAGAGAAGAGTATGGAGAAAGATAGCAAGTGAACAAATAGGCATGACATTAGTGGGACACAGATATGGTTTATTATCTGTTGATGGTGACGTGTATAGTATTCTCAACTGGACCAGTCTGAGAAGTATTTCATGTTGGGTAAAGTCTTTTTACAAGCAAAATGATAAATAGTGATTGAATGTTTAAAAAATAATTGGAATAATAATGATCGGGAAAAACAATGTAAAGATATTGAAGCTTTGTACTAACTAATATGCATGATATTTCTTCTGGGAAAAGAAATGTAATACACTGTAAAGTTATATGTGATTCAATGTAATATAAACAAGAGTATGATAATAATAACTTTTTTAAAAAATACAAAAAAAAGAGAATTGACTGACATCACTTGTTTCCTTTGAACACTTACTTTATAATATGTGTCTGTCCCTCCAAACTACGTGTATGTTTAGTGGAACTGACTTTAATCCTTAGGTCCAGCCAACAGCCCATGGCACACATCACCTTTGCTCCTGTTAATAATATGTTTTTGTTATAGGAACCATATTGTTATTATTATCAGTAATAAAGTTCTTACTCTTTTCTTATAGGAACTATTTTGTTATTATTATCAGTAATAAAGTTCTTACTGTCTTCTTTTATCAAAGATTATCAACTGTCTATTCTGTACCTTACCCAGAATTAGGTCCTAGGAATACAAAATTTAAAACATTGCAGACTACAGCATTCAAAATGAGCACCCCCAGAAAATAGAATTAACTACATTTTTTATAGCTGTTTACCTCAGACACGACAAAGGCAAGGCCACTTAATTCGTGTCAGTCTGACTTCTGTACATTGCTGAATTTGACCTTAGCCCTCATACCTTTTTCACAAGCCCTATGTCCCAAATCCTTCCAACTGTCCAACTCTGCTATTCTATGACCACAAAATTCATCTATACTCTCAACCTCCTCTTAATGCATATCACCATTTTAGTCTTAACTGAAACCTGACTCTACCTTTGAGAAAACTATTTTATTTCAAAAGGAAATTGATAATTCACAAACAAAAGCTCAACAGGTAGGGTCCATATTTTCCTTATTGCTAGTACTTCTTGGGCCATTACATAATCACAGCTTTGTGGTAACCTGAGCTCCTTTGAGACTCCAACTCTCTGGTGATAAATAATCCTCTCTATCTTTTCTCATAAGGACCATTTGTAGAATACTTACATCATCTCAGTTTCCTTTGTGCCAATTTTAACCCCTCCTTAGTCCCAGGTAATCACTTATCTGACTTCTTTCACTGTGGATTAGATTTTTCTCCCTAGAGTTTCATATAAATATGTACTTATTTATATCTGGCTTCCTTCACTCGGCATAGTATTTTTAGATCCATTCATGTTGTTGCATCTATAGGTTATTCCTGTTCATTTTAAAGTGGTATTCCATCACATTAATATAGTATAACTTGTTTACCCAGTCACCTATCAATGGACAACTGCATTATTTCCAATGTTTGACAATTACAAATAAAGATACTAAAGTTTTTGTGTGAGAATAACTTTCATTTTTCTGGGTAAATACCTAAGGATGGAACTGTACAATTATATGGTAAGTTGGGGCCAGCAGGTATCACAGTGGTTAAGGCACTGACTCCCACATGGTTGACCATGGTTCGAGTCCCAGACCAGGTGGCTTGCTTTTTTTACTTTCCTTCTCTCTCTCTGTCTGTCTCTGAGTGTGTGTGTCTCTGTTGAGCTCATGTACCCTATAGCAAATTAAATAGTAATAATACTGATAATATTAAATTAAATGAATAATTCTTTAAAAAAGATAATATGGTAAGCATATATTTATCCTTACATATGACATTGTAAGACATTTTTAAGTGCTTTTGCTATTTTATACTCCTAGTAGATGAAAGAGTTTTAGCATCCTCGACTTACAAAAATTTAATAATACTTGGTATTTTTATAGTTTTCCCTTATAATGAAAATCTTTAAAACATTCTATCTCCATGTATCCCCATCTCAACTTATATAGATGACATTATGAACTAGTATTTTACTCTAAATACATCGTTTACTCATAAGCCCGTGTTATTATTTTATACATTCAATACTCATTTGTATTTACCCATATATTTATTACATTCATTCTTTTTCCTTTTTTAATACATCTCCAACTTCTCCTTTGAAATAACTTCCATTTGTTTTTAAGTATATTCTTTAGTATGTCCTTTAGTGAGGTTCTAATGATGATGACAATTTTTTAGGGTTTTTTTTTGGGGGGGGGTCTGAAAATGGTTTTATTGTTTCTGTTGTCATCAGCTATCAGTTTACCTCTTATGACTTTAAAGTTTAAATTTGCTTTAAATTTTGCTATAGGGCACATGTCTTACCAGAGACACACACACGGCGAGAAAACCACCCCAGGGAGAGTGGCCATGCTGCAATCCATTCTCCTTTCAGAATTTTGAACATGCATGCACATTTTCCCAGTGTATTTTTTTCATTTTTATTTTATACATTCAATCATATACATCACTTAGGTTGTAAAGTGAATATTCCAACATGAATACATTTCTCAGACATCCAGTTAGGGATACTATACACGTTATCATTAATAGATAATAACCAATTTCTGTGTCCCATAAATGTCTTGCCTCTCTATTTTTGTTCTTAATATCTTTTCTCTGACTCTCCTCCTTCTCCCACCCTCGTCCCACACTGAATCCAGTATCCATAACCATTTTCTATGTTTTAATTGAAGGCTTTACTCTTCCATGTTACTGGACTTATCAATAAAGGAGGGGTCCTTGTATTTTATTTCCTATGGCTTCTGTGATGAATTACCACAAATTTAGTGATTTAAAACAATGCAAATGTATTTTTATAGTTCCGGATGCCAGCAGTCTGAAATCAGTTTTACTGGGCAAAGTCAAAGTGTCAGCAGGACTGTACTCCCTCTGGAGGCTCTAGAGGGATCCATTATCTTTTCCATCTTTTAGAGCTCTATTACTTGAATTCCTTGGCTCACATGCCCCTTTCTTCTTGAAAGCCAGTAGTAGAGTATCTTCAAATATCTACTGGTTCCATAATCACATTGTTTTCTCTTCTATTGTCAAATCTCTCTGTGCCCTGCTCTTATAAAACTATGTGAGATTTTATCTGGGGTCCATCCAGAAAATTAGGAATTATGTCCTCATGTCAAGATCTTTAATTTAATCACATCTGTAAAGTCATTTTCCCCATATAAGATTACATTCATAGGTTCCAGGGATTAAGACATGGATCACTATTCAGCCTATCACAGTCTTAGTTTTAATCCTTAACTTCACTCAGGCTCAATGCTTTCCTTGTTTAACCTTAAAATTCAAACTCTTGTTTACCAAGACTAATAGTTTATCCACCCAAACTTCTACTACTAGAGTATCAGTTCATGTGATTTAATTCCTGCTTTCCTTCTTCCATTTGGGTACCTGAGTACTTCCTTTAATTTCTAAAATGCTCAAATGTTAATTTAAAAGGATGTTTCCTAGTCTTATTTAGCTTTTCTAGGGTTTCATAGAGGGAGAATTTTCAGGATATCTAGTTTGTTATATTCCCTAAATTGGGCACCTTTGACACACTCGAATATCTTCTGTTCCTTCTACCTCACTAGAACTATTCTTTTCAAGATCACTAACTGCCAAGTACATCTATACCTTCCCAAAAGACAATTGTAGCTGCATCTTATGTGAACTCACAGTAGAATTCACCCTAAATGATTATTCCCTACTTCTTGAAATACTTCCCTCTCTTGAATTTCATAATATTGCATCCTTATGATTATATTTTTCTTTTTACAGGTCACTCTTGCTCTTTATTCACTACTGTCTCTTCCTTTAACACAGCATAGCTCTGTGATATTGACAGGAATGTTTTCTGTGTGGGTACCCAGGACACCAAAGTATATACTTCACATGCCTCCATTACCATAGAGGCAATTTATTAGCCTAAATTAATGAATTAATATTTATCTCTTTAAAAATCTTACAGTGGGAGGCTCAGCTGTGGTAGTGTGTACTGCTAAGATGCTGCTACTTGGAATTGTGGCCACATGGGAAGCCTGAGTTCAATTCTCTTCTTACCTTAAAAAAGCTAGGCATGTTGGAACACTCCTATAGTCCTAGCTACCTGGGAGACAGAGGCAGGAGAATCATGACATGGTAAGATTCTATCAAAAATCTCTTTCTCTCATTTCAAAAACTCCACATTTGGAAAAGTGGGCAGAAAATGTTTTATATGTACTGTGTCTCTGAGAAAAAAAGTGCTAATGTTATTGTAAATCTGTCCCTAGACATCAGTAAATTCATGTTGAAGAAAATCCCTGTGATTGTAGGTACTACTGAAAAAACACTTCGGGACCAGAAGATGATACAATGGTTATGTTGCTGGACTCCCACGTAGTCGACCACGGTTCAAGTCCCAGACGTGGTGGCTTAAAACACGCCAGGCACGTGTGCGTGCATGCCCCAAATCACAAGAGGAGAATGGAGGAGAAGGGATTGCCGCATGGCCATTCTCGCTTTCTGTCTCTGTCTCTCTGGCGAGCACATATGCCATATAGCAAAAAATCTCTTAAAAAAAGAAAAAAAGAAAAAGAAAGAAAGAAAGAAAGAAAGAAAGAAAGAAAGAGAGAGAGAGAGAGAGAGAGAGAGAGAGAGAGAAAGAAAGAAAGAAAGAAAGAAAGAAAGAAAGAAAGAAAGAAGAAAGAAAGAAAAAGCCCTTCACATTTTGTGCAGCCTTTACTGAGTATCAGTTCATTCATACTCCCAAAAGGCTAAGGGAAAAGCAGAAACATTAGATAAATATTCATATAAAAATTGATTTTTTAAAAAATAAAATGTTTAGGGTCAGCTGGTAGTGTGGTGGTTGAGGGGGCTGGATCTCACATGACTGACAGTGGGGTTTGAGTCCTGTACCCAGCAGCTTGAAAAATATGCCAGGCATATGTGTGTGCATGTCCAAAATCCTGAAAGAAGGGAAAAATGGAAGAGAAGAGATTGCAACATGATCATTTCCCATGAGGAGTACATTATCTTTCTCTCTCTTTTCCACAAAGATTTTTTAAAGTGTTCATTTCCAGTAAGAGAAAAAAGTACCCTTGGGAACCAGCAGTTGGCATAATGGCTATGTCGCTGGACTCTCATGTAGTTGACTGTGGTTCGAGTCCCGGACCCGGTGGCTTAAACTCACACTGGGAATGTGTGTGCATGCGCCCAAGATCCTGAGAGAAGAATGGAGGAGAAGGGATTGCTGTGTGGCCATCGTCCCTGGGGAGTGATTTCTCACTTTCTGTCTGTCTGTCTCTGTCTTTCTGGCGAGCACGCATGCCCTATAGCAAAAACTTCTCAAAAAGAGCGAGAGAGAGAGAGAGAAAGCACCCTCAGTGGGGTCCCTATGCCATGATCCTCTTCTAGTCCTGTATCATGGTCATGCCAGTATCATAGTCATGCCCACAGGCTCATTCAGTGTTCCAGGGAGATATGAGATGCAAACCCAGAGCCTTACCATATGGCCCCTAGCATCACATGGTATCACCTCTACTGCCTATGCCACCACACACAACTAGACAAAAAATAAATAAATTTAAAAAGTCTTAAAATCTCCAAGCACTCTTTCTCTATTGTCATCTGGTTTCCTACCTTCAAATTCCTTCAGTTCTTGCATTAAATTCCTCTCTTTTTCACTGATGGCTCAGTACTTTCTTATCTCTAGACCAAACCTGACTGAGACAGGAGGCATTTTAGTAACCTTACTAGTGTTTAATATTCTTATTTCTACTTCCTTGTTTGAATTCAGGTGTTTAAAATTCCAGGATCTGATGGCTCAGTTACTACCACTAGGCTCTGGCATTGCTCTTCAAGAATAGTTCTTTCACTTTTCTCACCTCTACTTGTTTTTTTTTTTTTTTTCCTCTCACCTCTACTTTGACTGCCAATGCTAAGACTTTGCAAATATCTCTCCCCATTCTCCACAGAGCAACACTCACCAAAAACCGTGCGTGCAGGGACAGACTCTCTGTTGAGCCAGAAAGACACTTGTGACAGAATGACAGTCATGATACATGGCAAGTAGGTCTGGATCACAAAGTAGCCAATTTTTCGCTTGAGATGGAAGTGAGTTGTCATGACGACATATTCTCCTAGAGAGAGAGTAAAGTTAGGTGGTACAGAGCCACATAAACCTTGTTAGGTCAAGTTGGGTCTCAATTTAGTTCAAAAAGTGCCTTACTCTCATGTTAAAGACAAGACATCCCAACACCTCCCAAGTCTGTATAACCAGAGATCATTAATAATCACAAAACTGCATTTTTTTTTGGAGTGGGAAAAAATGTCAGTGTACCAATACAGCTTGCTCAGAACAATTTTTTAAAAGTTTAGTTATTTCTCTCATGAGGAAAAAGAGACAAAGACAGAAACAACACCCTTATCAGTAATGCTGCAACTCACTTCCGGCCCTCTACCAACCCTGTATCACAGGCACACATATGCCTAGTATACTCAGGGAGGTCACGAGAACATTCCCATGTGGGTCAGCCCTACACAGCATCTCGTTTTACCAATGCACCACCATTTGGGCCCATTTCAGGGCAATTATGACACAAGTTCATTTAAATAAATTAGTGTTCTCATTTAAATGATAATAAATACTTTTTCTATAGCACTTGCTATGTGATAGACTCATCTAGCACTTTAACATTATTAAAATATTAAACCTTCACAAAAGCCCTATGAGGTAGGAACTGTTATTATCCTCTTATAGGTTAAGAAACTTGAGACAAAGAGATACCGAGTGACTTGCACAAGGTTACCCAACTAGTATGTAGTGAAGTTCAAACTCAAGCCCAGATTGGTTGGAACCATACTTTTAAACTCTTAACCACTACATTCTGCTGTCCTAATGGGACTTACTGTGTCAGAACCAATAGTTCAAAGAGTGGAATGTGGGCTGATCTATGTTACTCCATTTTCAAAATAAAAGTGAACACTTAGTGAATTCTTAGTGTGTGCCAAAAAATTTTTTTGAGTACTTTTGAAGTATTAACCGTATTTCTTTTCAACAGCCCTGTGTGATGGTCATTATTTCCCCATGTTATTAAATCTAATAATCAATTCTCAGTCTTACTTGTTTTGTCAGCAGAATTTTACACAGTTGAGTCCTCCATCCTCCTGCTGGAATCCCTCTCTTCACAGAACTTCTAGACCACGATTCTGCTTTCCTCCTTCCTCACTGACTATGCCACTTCTCAGCCACTTTTGCTATTTCCTTTGAGTTTCTAAACATTGGCAGATGTCAAGGCTTGCTCACTCCTTTGACATTCTCATCTAGCCTGTGTCTTCAATATCTTAACCCATGATAACTCTTCAATATACATATTCTGCCTGGGCTTCCTACTTGTTATGGGTTGAATTGTGTCACTCAGAAAGATATGACAAAGCCCTAACCCCTAGCACCTCAGAATGTGACCTTATTTGAAAATAGGGCCGTTGCAGATATAATTTGTTAAGATGAGGGTATAATCAAATAGAACAGACCTTTAGTTCAGTGTGAATGGAACAGATAGACACAGCAACATCCAGAAGCTAGCGAGAGTCATGGGAATGATTCTCCTTCAGAACTTCCAGAAGGATCTAACCCTGTTGACACCTTGATTTCAGACTTCTAGCCCATAAAACTCAGAACTGAGACAATAAATATGTTGTCTTAAGTTGCCCAGTTTGTGGTACTTTATTACTAGGACTCCCTACTTAGTAATAGATTTATATATCCAACTACCTATTAGAAATCACAAATTGGGGGTCTAATAGGTAGATCTTGGCATAACATGCCCAAAACTTGGTTTTTGCTCTTCCCATCTTCCATTCTTCCTTCAAACTGGCTCCTCTGACAAACTTTCCTATCTCAGTAGATGAAAGCTCTTGGATGCTTCGGCCAAAATCAAAATCCTCAAAATCTTTAACATTGACTTTGTCTTCCTTTCCCCACGTTATATGTGCACGCACGCACACACATACACACACACACACTCAACAAATTTTTCCAATGATTTCTTCAAAGTACATGCATAATTTCACCACTTATGACCACCTCCACTGCTATCACCCTGGTTTAAGCCATCATCATCTCTCCTTAGAGTAACATCTATATAATTGGCCTGTGGTTTCTGTCTTTGCTCTCTATTCAATTCATTCTTGGCACAGTAGTCAAAAACAATCCTATTAAAACATAAGTCAGGTCCTGTCTTTTTCTACTCGAGACCTTTCAATAGTCTACCATTTCTGAAAGAGTAAATGACAAATTCTTGAAAAGTGCCTTGAAAGATCCATGTAATCTGACTACTCCAATATCTCTCCAATCAAATGTTCTTATTTTTCACCTCTCTCCCTCTACCCACATTTGATTTTAGCAGGATTCCTGAATGAGACAATTTTCCACTTTCCTCCCCTATCCACTCCCTTGTACCTTAGCCTAAGAAGCAATATCTGGCCACCCAAAGTTCCATATATAATATATATTGTGTGTGTGTTCATATCCTCACTTATTTATGTGAACATGAAAAATACAAATAGGCTTTTTATTTTTTGTTTAGTGAAAGATCTCATACAAAACTATGGAATGTTTCTCTCATTACAGTTTCTGTTTCTTTTCTTTCTTTCTTCCTCTTCTTAAATATGCTCTTTTTTTTGTTCTTTCTCTTCTCTCTTTCTCTCCTTTATGTGTATATATATACTTTTTCTCCTTTTCCTTCCCTTCACTCTCCCTTCCCAGTGAAAAGGCATTATAGGTTCATTTTTCATGAGATTTTAACTTTGATTAGCTTGGGCAATTTTCTCCCTTCCCCATTTTAGTCTCATACTCCTAAATTCCTACCTATTAATCTTATCTCTAATTATGTAAAATATTTACAATGTAGTAAATATTATTCATAAATTAGTTGTATTCTACGGATATGACATTGTGACATTTTCAAAAGCTTATCAAATGTAAACAGATTAATTTCTTCAATTGAAATGTATAGAATGGATTAAAAATAACTATTAGGTTGTTGGGAAATTCATTACATATTTTCTAGGCAAAAATGCATCATGACTTTCCTGACAACCCAATAAACGCAACCTACAAGGAATTCAGTTTACCTGTAAGGACACACATAGACTAAAAATGAAAAGATGGAGAAAGATATTCAACACAAATAGAAACTAAAAGCAAGCAAGAGTATCTATGCTAATGTCAGATAAAAAGACCTTAAGTCAAAAACTGTAAAAAGTGATAAGGAAGGTCATAATATAATGCTAAAGGGACCAATTCAGCATGAGGATATAACAATTATAAATATATATGGGTCTAACATAAGCATCAAAAAACATAAAGCAAATATTAGATATAAACGGAAAGTTAGACTCTAGTACAATATTAGTTGGAGATTTCAATATACCACTCTTAGCACTGGACAGATCATCTAGAAGAAAAATCAGCAAAGAGACATCACATTTAAACTATAGACCAAATGGACCTAACATATCTACATAATATTTCATTCAATAGCTGCAGAATACACATTCTTCTCATCAGCACACTGAACATTCTCCATGATAGACAGTATGATAGGACACAAAACAAATATCAATACATATTTAAAAATCAAAATCAGGTCAGCCCATGGCATAGTGGTTAAGGTGACTGGATTCCACAAGGCTGACTGCACGGATTGAGTCCCAGATCCAGCGGCTTGAGAAACACACCAGACATGTTATGTGTGTGTGCCCAAAATCCTGAGAGGAGGGAGAAATAGAGGGGAAGGGATTGTGGTATAACCATTTCCCACAGGCAGTACTTTCTCACTTTCCCTTTCTTTCTATTTCCCTCTCTATCTCTTGCTCTCTCCAATGATTTCTAATGGAATAAGACTAGAAATCAACAAGAGGAACTACAGAAACTAAAAAATACAATGAAATTAAACAGCATGCTCCTGAACACTCAATGGGCTAATGAGAAATTAAGAAGAAAATTTAAATTTTTTTTCCAGTGAACTCGGAGCAGATAAAAATTTTTGAAACAATGAAAATGGAAATGCAACCTACCCAAACGTACAGTATTGATAGCAATAAACACATCCAAAAAAATAGATTTTAAATAAATATAATGATGAACCTCAACCCTAAAAATTCTCTCCTTGAAATAAGAACAAATAAAAAACAAAATTGATGGAAGAAAAGAAATGATAAAGATCCAAACAAAAATAATGAAACTCAAAAACAATACAAAAGATTAACAAAATAAAAAGTTGTTTTCTAAAAAAAAAAGATAAAAAAATCAATGATTAATTATCTAGACTAGAAAAGAAGAGAGAAATTCCAAATAAATAAAATCAGAAACAAAAAAGGAGATAGTGCAACTGAAATCATGGAAATATAAATGTCCATTAGAGGCTATAAAAAACATATAATAAACAACTATACACCAACAAATTAGAAAACATAGACAAGATGGATAATTTGCTCAGAAAACACAACGTACCCAGATTGAGGAAGAAATAGAAAAACTGAATAAATCAATAACAAGTAAACAAGATTGAGTCAGTAATTAAAAGTTTTCTAAATAACCATTTGTTTTGAATAACAGATTACAGTTAATGATCCGTATTTACATGTTCTGCATCTATGAGTTTAGCCAATTAGGGATCAAAACTGTCATGCTATTGGTGACATTCACTTTGTAGTTAGGATTACAGTGGTTGCATCTGTACTGAACATGTACAGACTTTTTCTTTCTTATTATTCCTTAAATAATACAACTATTTGCATAGAATTTACATTACACTACATATATTAAGTAATCCAGATATGACTTTTTTCAAGGTTTTTGCCATGGGCTGATATGGTTGCTGGAGAGACAGAGCGAGATAGTGAGAGGGAAAGTGAGAAATTATCTCTCAGGGGGACAGCCACACTGTAATCCCTTCTCCTCTGTTCTCCTTCTGGGATTTTGGGTACACATGCAAGCGCACCCAGTGGGACTTGGGCTGCAGCTGGCCATGTAGGAGTCCAGTGCCTTAATCGCCATGCCACCTGCTGGCCCCTCCAGATAAGACTTTAAGTATACAGGAGGATGTTCATAGTATACAAATACATGCCATTTTAT